CTAAGTACACTGTATTTGCTAGTTGAAGATAGTCATGGTGTCACCGCGATATACACCCACTCGTGATAAGTCAAGTGTATACTGAAGCAATCCGAACGGACACAGTGACTTGAGGAAGAGGCATGAAAAACTTGATTACTGGACTTGGACATATCCCTTTGTGTCCGCATACTGAATGTTACAATCAACCGTTACAATAATTAGCGCTCACATATTCCATTATTTTTGCACCCACCTGGGTCAAATTTGCACTCTGTAATGAGCATTACCCTTGAATCAATCCATTTCACATCTAATCATACTTTTTTCAGTAGTCAACAACAAATAAGCAACAACAAACAACACCGGCGTAGGTGATTGTAGAGCTAATGGCTGCACAAACCAAACTCAACGGAACAAAAACCTGTACGCCAAGTTATGTTGAAGNCCGAACGATGTATCGGAACCCTACTTGTACTTTTTTACCGATGCATTTTCACTGCTCCATCCAGGCCACAATTCGTGTCGCTTATATGATTATGTTTTGCAAATAGGAATAATGTTTCTCCCGCTACAGACTGTACACTCTTTTCCCTTATTTGTAGAAGTGACTAGGTTTTCGAATTACTTTCAGTGCTCATTTGAACGCGTTGCTGGTTGATATGACGGTTCTCTGTTCGGCAGTCATGTACTAAAGTAGCTTCTTTTCGCTAACGATGTTGACATTGTTACAGCTACACAATTTTAACCTGCTGAAAGGATTTTTTCTGACGTTAGTGAGCTTACTGCCTTCTTTTCTATCGAAAATGTGTTAAGTAAATCGTTTTTGACTAGCGCCGGAATGGCGAAGTTGTTTAGTTCAAAATATCTGTGCTCATTGTAAATCAGAGCCCATTTTAATGCTATTATGAACAACTGACCTGGATGTAGAGCGCTGAGACACCAACATGGTTTATTGGGTAACCTGAACCCAGGTATCTCTAAAACTGTCACGACTAGGGAAGAAACATAAATGAAGTACTCTGACTCGGAGAAAAAAATGCAAGATTATGACTCACTTTTGTTCCTCGCTGGATAAACGCTCTGTCATTGTCCTGAGCGATGTGTTTATATGATCCACGGAGGCTGATGCGCTAGGTGAGTGAAGTATTTGGTTTTGACAGTTGTGGCACTTCAATGGTGATGATCGATAATTCGCTTCACAGATAGAGTCAGGTTCCTTGGGAGATGGGGATGGTAAAGAACACTGAACTTCTGCATTGAACTCCTCTGTAAATTTATTCACAAGTAATGGAGAGGTCATTGTAGCCACATCGTGACGCGCACGAGATGTGTGCTCTTCCGGTGACACGACAACTACTTTCACAAGTTTCGTGGTCTCGGACACAGAAGGGACTAACAGTAATCCAGTTAGTGTTCGTGAATGTTTGCCCATATCAGGTGCATTGTAGTCTGATTGTTGATGTGACGACGACAGAGAAAACAACAAGTTCCTTATACGTTCTGTGAGGCTGGTATTGGGTGAATCGCAATTCTTAGTAAGTGGGGAAGAACGATTAATAGACTGGAGTTGAGACCGGACCTTTTTAAGAGATATGTTGGAAAAAACCCAACGGTTTTCTGGTATATTCCTAGCAGTATGTACTATAGGGCCTACAGAATGGTCACAGGGATTGTCAACTTCACGAGGGCAGGGATCAGAAGTTGGAACAGACACTGACGATTCACCATGCCAGAGGCTATCGTGTGAAGTCGACGTATCATCAGTCTCATCAACACTGATCGGATTTGTCTTTTTCTTGGCCGCATCCAGTAGTCGATTTCCTAGTTTTTGACGCTTCCCAGTGCTACCTTCAGAGATAGGCGGAGGCATAGACGATCCGACTAACACACAAGCCTCGGATGGGGATGAAGCCGCATCATTTTGATTTACCGGAAAATTAACTGATGGAGGCGTATTGTTCTTTTGAACTTTTGTGTCATCAATCATCACGTTTTCCGAGTTCTTCCAATTCGTTATTTTACTCACCGAAGGTTCAACCATGTTGGCCGATAACTTCTGAATTCGAAGTTGTTCTGAGCTTTTGGAACTGTATTTGGGTTCAATAGGTATGACATTGGTTAGTGAATTATCGTGATCAGAAGTAGAGGCAGGTAATGAATTTTTCCTCTCGCCCGGCGACGAAGAATTTGCAAGAAATAAAGCGCACTTGTCAGAGTCATTCTTTGTAACACAGGTTTGTTCAGGTCCGGCCGTAATGCATTCTTTTGAATGAGCTGTAGGGCTATCTTCTGATGCCCGAGGACGGAATGAAACATTCTGCAGTTCGTTCGGCTCAGTGTTGGAACCAACGAGGGTCTTATCACCGATGTTATTGGTATACCGTGATTCCTTTAGGACGCTGTCCGTTTTCCCGGTACCTCTCATCGGTGTGTCGGAATTATCAGCTGAACCGTTCTCGGCTGAGCCTGATAACGGCTGGTTTTCATTTGTTAACACATCCCCATGGAATTTCCAAGATTTCGGGCTTCGAGGGGTCAGTCCGGTGACCAATAGATTTTGCTTAGCTGCCAAAACAGTTTCTGATTCAATCAGGATCCGTTGAACATAGTCCGAGTTTTTCGCATCGGCTGCCAACGACATGTTGGTCTGTTCATTGGAATGCGAATTCAATTCACATTTCGTCAGATCGGATGTCTGGGCAACCTCTGGAACAGCACTGTTGGGCACCTTACGGCTGGTATGATCACTCCCTGATTGTCCATCTTTAGAACCATGAAAGCTCGTTTGATGGTCTTCGGAAGATGTGGAATGCTTTGAAACGGGAGAACCTTCGTAAACGGTTTTCCCATGAGTCAGCATGCTGAAACCAAATGCAACGTTTTGTAGAAAACACCACAAAGGGAAAAACGTTCCAGAAATAGAATGAATCATACCACATGCACATCTTTTCCATTATTCACATTATAGGGTTACCTGCGCGACTGTTCCAATTAGGCCGTGCGTTTGTTACCACCGGATACTATTTCGCGATTTTACAGTGGAAAGTAGACGCTTTTTCGCCTTACATCATTATGTATATATAAATTTCACCGATTTGCGAACAAGTAAGGTGCCAACTCAAAAAGATTACCAGAGGGCTAAGAGGTTGGGATACAAAACATTCATGTTAGTTTATCGTTTTTTCTATTGGGAGGGCAAGGGATTTTAACAGACCGACCGTACAGGATTGGCGTCACTGACTTCTATTCTAGACCACAGCTGTCATATTTTGGTTCCCTTGTTTATACGCCCTTCGCATATTACGTAAAGCTCTTTTTTTCTATTACAGCTCATGTACCGGATTTATTAGTTGAGTAAAGCGTACAATCCTGACTCCGAGTCTTTTCTGTTCCGCACCCGTTTTCTTCATTTACTCAACTAACAATGAACTGTTACCTTATACCCGACAAATTTGATGTCGATCTGAACGCCCCAGCCGCCGCCAAACAATAGGCATACTTGATACGCACTTTCAACACCTTGGATTCAACCCGATGACACAGACAATCTGGAGCTACTCATCAATTTCTCGACACCCGTCTATGAACACATCTCTGAGTGTAAGACATTTGACTTCAGGCACTAATAGACACTGGTAGCTCCGACAGTTATGTATTCCATTTCATTGCAAATATCCATGGTTGGAAAGTCTATCCTTGTGACTCTAAAATTACCATGGCTTCCACTTCTTTCTCTTGTGCTATCACTGGTTATTCCAACGTAACTATCCGATACCACGACGCTTCCTATGAAAACATACGACTTGCCGTCATGCGCAATGTGTGTTGATGTACTACTTGGCCATAATTTTCTTGGTTTGCATGATAGAGTAGAAATACCGTTCGGTGGCAAACAGTCCTTTCTCAATCTACAGCCTTTCCGCCGCCAAAATTGAATCACCTCCATTGTTCGCCTACCTCTCTGCTGACTGTAAACAAATTGCTACAAAATTCAGAAGACATTCAGCTGAATATGTACAGTTTATTGAGTTTGAAGTGCAACGCCTTCTAAGCGATGGCATCATCAAAACTTCGAACTTTCACTGGAGGGCTCTGGTCCACAACCACAAGAAACGAACGGTTGTTGCTTATAGCCAGACGATCAATTGCTTCACTCAGCTAGGTGCTTACATACTACCCTGCATCGATACAACGGTGGAAGATATCTCACGCTATGCCGTACACAGTACCCTTGATTGGAAAAGTGCCCATCATCAGATTTCCATCAAAGACCATGAGAAGCCCTACATCACATTTGAAGCATGTGGCAATCTCTTTCAGTTCTGCCGGATACCGTTCGGAGCCGCGACTGCGAATACGGCGCGGTGCGGCAGACGATGGCTGGGCATACACAATGTGTCTTAACCAACTAAGCCGACTAATCTGAATTCGATGGAACAACGAATTCTCCAACGAATCATTACCAAATACGCGACGCTTTACCTAGAAGTTGCTTACACACTCGCTCCATCTAATCCGCGCCAAACTACGCAAACATCGGCAGTCGAAGACTTCTAGACGACGATTATCTTCCGCGCTCAAATTTAGGGTCTCACAAACATAGAGCAGAACTGACCGCACGCTGGCGCAGTTTACACGACCTTTCAGTTTCAACGAAACATCACGTTTGTACCAAAGGTGTTTCAGTCCAGCGTAAGCTGACCGAGCCTTGGAAATGCGAGCTGTTACTTTATTGACTACGCTACCGTCATTCGTCACGCAGCTACTCTAAGCTACTCTAAGTAGGAGAAACATTCCACCATAGCTAATTCTTGACCATCAGGCACCAGCGCCGGGGTAGATGACACCCAATCTTGTAGCATCGCTTTGCACTTTGAAGGTGCAAATGGCATACCGAATAGAGTTACAGGACTTAAAAGTCTATCAAGAGCGCTTGGCGCATCCTGCTTTCGATCGAACAGGTAAGCGATGCCATCCGCGTACTCTAAATCGCACCACTTTTCTCCAGCTGCCGATTCAATACCTACATTTTGGAAACCACCAAATGCGTTCCCAGTATTTCGTCTACGACGAAATTGAACAGGAATGGCGAAAAAGGGCACCCTTGGCGAATACCGCAGCTAGTTTCGAACGATTTACTTAGCCCACAGCAGACCCTTACTCTACCAGAAGTATGCAGGTACAGCGACTGCAATAGATTTATGTTTATATATATATACATATGTACATATATATATATATATATATATCACTTATCTGAGAACAGACTGTGCTAGGTAAATCATGGTATAATAAACTTTATAAGAAGAAAAACCGTTTCATGATTGGCTTGTGGGCTGAGTACTGCCAGGTTATCCAGGCCAAGACATAAATTTTCTTGAGGAATCTACAACCGGAGCCTTCGACTAGCCAAAGCCT